GATGATGCTCCTTTGAATGGCTTCACAGCATCTGCATATGGACAGCTCTAATTAGACTCAGTGGGTTATAAAAAATTAAGAAAGAAAGATAAAGGGACATAAAGTTGGAAGGGTATTTGAGGGAGGATTCTGGAAGACATGGAAGGGGTAAGAATAAACACATATATGCATGAAATTCTCAAAGGACAAATAAAATATTTAAAGAGATAACACATGAATAAACCAATACCTGTAATGGAAAAGGAAGGCACTGACAATACTGTGGACAACAGAGAATCACAAAGTTGTCCACAAATTTTAAAATGCATATAGAGTGCACATATTCCAGGATAAACAGCAGTTAAAGTTAGTCATGAATAGAAAATCCAAATAGTCTGAGAGATGTTCAAAATATCATTTTAATTACATCATTTTGTAAATAGTTTGAAAACAGACAAAACAGAAAATCTGTCTTATGTAAAGTTATTATACATAAAAACTATAGTTAAAACTTTTTCTAGATGAACATTTAATAGAGAAATCACACAAAATGTATGAAACCCATTCTCAGACGGGGTTAGAAATACTTCATATTATTTTAAAAATATGCTTACTGGTTCTTTGAGAATTTCACACAATGTGTCATGATCGTATTCGGACTCCTCCCCATCCCACTCCCATGCTACCGCCCCTCCCACACTTCATGTCCTCTGTCATTATTGTTTCCATTTGATTTAAAGCAAAACATAGCAAACTCATTCCGCTGACTGAATGTGTAATGTGGCCCATGTGTTTTAAATACTGAGTCCCAGGTTGCAGTACTCTTTTGGAAGATTCTATGTAGACCAGGCTGGACTTGATCTCCTAGAGATCACTTGCCTCTGCCTTACCAGTGCTGGGATAAAAGTTGTATGCTGCCATACCCGACTGAGCTCCTTCTTTTGGTTGTCAGATGTTTTGTAACAGCAATGAGACAAGTAACTACTATGCAAGGAAAATGTGAAGAAATTATAGCCCACTCTCAGTGATAAACATTGATGTAAATAATCTAAATAAAATACCAGTAGATCTAGTCTTATCACATAGAAGGGTAGATAATGTGACATGGCCATCTTAAGTTTGCTGCAAAAATGGAAGGATGATGTTTGAAAACAAATCAATATAATTAATCACACAATAGAGTAATAAAAAACTCCTTGAAAAAGGACCTAGTATAAATTGAATTTATTTGTTTACATCAGTATTAAAGATTTGGAAAAAGATAATTCATAAGACTATATTATTATAGATTCATCAAATACTTAAGGATTAACCTAATGTAAGATATGTAAGATACGCAATTTCCAAACATAAATGTGCAAACAATATTGAGAAAAAATTAAGTAACTTAAAAAATTGAAGTCTGTATACTTACATTGGAATACCTGATATTTATCATTTCTCCATATGCATATATACTCAATAAAACTATAAACAATATTTTGAATCAAATTGATAAACTGTTTCTGAAGTTTATAAAGAAATATGAATAGTTAGGTTAAGAGGGTGCAAAGAGCAAGAAAGTTCTGAGAAGTGGCGTTCTGTCCCAAGCACCATGGAGGCAGGGCGTATCCCGTCACTTTATAAGTACTGTTAAACGCATGTTCAGTGCGGAATAATAAACATAAGTGAGTGGCTTAGCCCTGGGTTTTAACCCTGATTCTAAATAATATCTCTAATTAAGGATGATTTCAGGATTCTTCTGGACAAGAACATTATGAATTTACTTTCTTAAACTTATTTCAAAACAATAAAACTCTTAGATGTGCACCAGAGTCAGCAGTAGGAATATGTTTCTATTTTTTCAGGACTATCATATGCCCTATCACAGAAGTTGTTAAAGGGTAGGTGCATCATTTCATCTCTAGGGATCCAACATAGTCTGAAAACATTTCCTAATGTTCTACCTCAGGAGAAATATGTATTTATAGAAGAAACTCTTGTATCTCAAGACTCTCATAATCAAAGGTTTTTAAGGCCCAGGTCTGTAAAGGGGCAAAATTGCAGCATCTCTAATCAGTACAGGCTCGACTCTTCTCAAGTGAGGGATCAAAAACAAAGACAGCAAGAACTAAACAGAAACACAAGAAAATGAGGAGACAGATGGAGGGAAAGAAAAAGTGGGAGAACAGAATTACAAGCTGAGAAGAGAAATTTAGACAAAGACAGAAGAGAAACAGCAGTAGAAACAGCAGCGTGAAGATGACATATGGTTTCCAAGAAGTAAAGACAAAGAGAAACAGAGAGACAGTCACAGAAACAGAAACGGAAGGAGAATATGATGTTTCAGGGGAGAAAAGCGAAGTCAAGGAAAGACCAATGCAACTCTGAGCTACTTGAGAAATGGGCTGTTGGCAGCACACTGAATCCGATGATGCAGCTATATCGCCTGTAAACCTCAGGTAAGTGCTGGTTTTTAATCACAAATAAACAGTGGATTGATTTTTATTATGCTGTGTGTTAACATATACTTCTAAGCATGAAAATCATTACAAGGAAAATGTAGAATTTATGCAGGCGTGAAAATGGGGGTCATTCTCGGTGGACAGTTTTGAAATGAATGACATAATGCCCTTCTTCCATCTCTTTTGTTCATCAGTGTTTAAATGAACTGAGCAGTGGAAAATAGTCTTTGAGGGATGTGGCGAAGATGATGGTGAGTGCAAGAAAATCACCTTACCCTTAGTTGTTTTTCCTTTGCCACTTGGCTGGGTAAGTGCTTTCCCTTTTGCCTTTACCCTCAGTCATAGGGGTCACTACTACGTCCAGTGTTGTCCTGCTGTTTCTCTTCCAACCTCACTGTGATTAAACTGTGCCAAACCTTGAAACAAAAGAAAGCTGTTATTTATAAATAGAATTTAAAAACTTAGGAAAGACAACAAATCAAGGGATTGAGAAGCTAGGTGGAAGGTATGACCAATGGAATACTAAGAGATGGATGGATAGTGAAAGAAAAAGATACAAAGAAACAGAATGCGACACACAGAATGGTGACCAGGGATAGGTCACAGACAATTTCAAAATAAATAGGTCAAAGGGCAAAGCTTGTAGTTACGTAGGATGAATACGCATAGGACTCTAAAATACAGCATGAGGACTGTAATACATAATGCGGTATTTTCTGCAGATTTTGTAGACGTGTAGATCTTAGGTCCTCCTACTACATACATGCACCTCACAAAGTTATCTCTGGATGGTGACAATATAACGTGCTTAACTCTAATAATTATTAAAAGATATATATCATGTAGTGTGTCCATATCAAAGCATTGTGTCGTGTGCTTCAGATATACGCACAAGAAAAGAAGTTAAATAGAAAAAAGGATATTGCTGTCTTTCTCAGCTTCAGCATATGGATAGCCCTGTAACTGAAACTTTCCAAACGTTGCAATTGGCACCAAGGATACTCAGAGCAAGGAGCAAGACGAGTATAAAGAATCATCATCCACTTTAGTTTTCAAAACATCTGCCAATTTAAGAAAATATGATTTATTACATTTGAAAGAATTTACACAGAGTAACATTCTGGCATGGGACAAAAGAAACATCATTGTGGCCTTAACATTAGGTGTGTGTGTTGGGGGGGGGTACATATGGTGCTAATGTCCAGATGTTTTGATGAGTTTAATTGTAAAACAGAACAAAACTTTCTGATAGAGTAGAAAGCCAAAAAATAAATAAATAAATAAATAAATGAAGTCAGTTGGAGATTTCACTGGATGTTAAAGACGAGAGAGAAAATATTTTTTTTTGGTGGTTAAAAAAATAAATGCCTTTAATTTATACTCTGTTTGGTAGGTCAATTAATTGCTTTATTTAAGCCAGCAGGACTAGTGAAAGCTCAGTTTCATACCTCAGGGGTGGACAGGAGAAGCAGAGCTGATTCTGGACTTGGGGAAACCTGGAGAGACTGCCTGGGCAATTCCCCTATAGACTCTATGGATTATAAGTTAAATCTTTAGAATTAAAGGTTCTGTGACATAAGCCCTTTGTTTTCATATGATGGAGTGGAGGGGGAATTAAAAATAAATAAAATCTTTTCTGAAGAATAATCAAGTCAATAAAACTTTGCTGTTGAAGAGTTGGAGTCCCACTGAAGAATTTTAAGGGCTCACTTGGAGCAGATTTATCCACCATTAGACACACTAGAGTGAGAGGCTGGATCTGTCAGTAAAGTGAGGGATCTTCTGAGTCGCTCTTGCATTTCTGGGGTTCCTGTGTGTTCACAGTAGGTGCAAACGAACAGCTTAATATAATAGTAAAGTGCTTCCCTAGCACATAGGAAATACTAGATTTGATCCCCACTTACACACAAACACACACACACACACACACACACACACACCACATGCTAGTGAAATGGTGAATAACAACATAGAACAGTGTAGTGCTGATTTTATTCATTTAAGACAGGAGAAACAACTTTGCTAAATATATGGCTTTCATATTTTGTGGAACTGAAAGTCATTAGATGGACTTTCGCAGTTACATAATATAGGAAATCAATTTCCATCTGAAGGGGAGCTGCTGAGGTCATAAGGTCTGTTCATTTGTCATTCATTGATGCGCCCTATAAACAATCACTGATTCACTGAAGAACATTTCTGACAGAAAGCTTCTGCAACTCTTAGACATTTAGTCTGGCTTTTCTCTATTTCCACCTTCACAGTTTATAGTAAAACATTCTTTCTATATTTTTGTGTTGTGTACATTTTCCAGTGTTCTCAGTGAAAACCCAACACATTACTCGGCAGAGACAAGCATATTTATGTGGCACACATTTTGTTCCAGAACTTAGTGTTCTGTAATTTGAGAAAATATTTCTTATACAAGACAAATAGGTGATTTTTTTCTTCCAAGGTAAACAGAGGAAACGTGTATTCTTGTCTTGGTTGCATTGTTTTTCTGATAAAGAGATGACAGGTTAATGAAGAACTACAAAGGACGTTTGTCGTTGTTCTCCAAGTCCCCTGAGTGTCAGCATGTTTGTCTGGAATAACAGTAATGCTTCAGAGACCATATTTATCCTGAAAGGTTTCCCTGGCCTAGAGTCTGTTCAGTCTTGGCTCTCAGTCCCTTTCTGCCTTGCCTATTTGGTCGCACTCATTGGTAACATAACCATTCTGTCTGTCATCTGGGAAGAATCCTCTCTTCATCAGCCTATGTACTACTTCCTGTCCATCTTGGCACTGACTGACCTGGGTATGTCCATGTCCACACTTCCCACAATGCTGACTGTCCTATGGTTGGATGCCCGAGAGATCCGCGCTACTGCTTGCTACGCCCAGCTGTTCTTCATCCACACGTTCACATTTCTGGAGTCCTCGGTGCTTCTGGCAATGGCCTTTGACCGTTTTGTTGCAATCTGCCGTCCACTGCACTATTCCACCATGCTCACCGACAGCGTGATTGGCAAGATTGGTTTGGCCTGCTTGCTTCGAAGCATGGGGGTCGTTCTGCCTACACCTTTGCTCCTGAGACGCTATCGTTACTGCCGCGTCAATGCCCTCTCCCACGCGTTCTGCTTGCACCAAGATGTTCTGAGGTTATCCTGCTCCAGTGCCCGGATCAACAGCATTTATGGACTGTGTGTAGTTATTGCCACACTGGGTGTGGATTCAGTCTTCATCCTTATCTCCTACTCTCTTATTCTGAATGCGGTGCTGAGTATCGCTTCTCCTGAAGAGCGACTAAAAGCCCTCAACACTTGTGTCTCTCACGTCTGTGTGGTGCTCATCTTCTTTGTGCCAGTGATTGGGGTGTCAATGGTCCATCGCTTTGGGAAGCATCTCTCTCCCGTAGTCCATGTCCTCATGGCTGATATCTACCTGCTTCTTCCTCCCGTGCTTAACCCTGTTGTCTACAGTGTAAGAACAAAGCAGATTCGTCTAGGAATTCTCCGCAAGTTTAGGCTAAGCAGGAGGTTTTAAGGAACGTTTATTCTCTGGTTTCTGCCTCAGGAAATACTGAGTAAGCTGTTTTCTTAGAAGACAAATAGATGATACCGTTCTGGGGTCGTGAGCATCCGGCAAAATTCCTAATTCTTTTGCCTTCTAAACATGCATTATCTGTTAATTGTTAATTTTTTTGTCATTCAAGCTTTTCATGACTTCACTGTCATTTCCTATGTTTAAGATCATTATGAAATTTAATAATAGTCTACATGTGTAATGAAAATTGTACAGATTTGTTAATATGAAATTATTATTAGTGATAACGAAAGTAGCAACTTATGAACCATTACCATCAGTGTAACCGTGTTTGCAGTTTCTCAACAACAATTTATATAATTTTATAATACCCTTTACTTTTTATATGTCTGCACGAGTCTTTAGTATTGCATTTTTATTACTTTATTGTATGTAATTCATACATTTTTCCTCTTCACTAGGTGGCCTATATGGAAGCTTTCAAGGGTAATATTTTATGACTTCATATATTTACTTTCTTCTTAGTTGTATTGCAAACTTTTTGAGAATTGGACCATTGCTCCTTTAACACACCAATATGGAGCTGTCTTCCCAACAGTGATGAGTACTTATAAAAGACCTGTAAGTGCAAATTTTAATTTTTATTCATTCACCCATGTAAAATGGAGAGACTATGTAGAGAAACGAAATATATATTGTTGAAGCCATTGCTTTAAATACTTTGGATATGTAAATAGCAAAATGCATGGTCTGCATGGTAAAGGAAAACAATTTTTGTTAAAGTGCTTGCTGTGCAAGCCTAAATAACTGAATTTGGATTCTGGGTATGGCCACACATGCCTGTAAAACCTAAGGTGTATATGTGTGTGTAAGGGGGAAACAGGGGAGGCAGAGTTAGTGGGACCATGAGGAACTTGCTGGGCAGCCAGGCAAGCTGAAATGAGGATCTCCAGGTTTAGTGAGAGACCCTGTCTCAGAAAATAAGGTGGAGAGCAACAGAGAAAGAGAGCCTGGTGTTGACCTTTGGTCTCTACACGTACCTGCACTGGTGAACATGTGCACACTTAGGTGCTTCTATGCGTGCAAAACATGCAAGCAAAGAATCATAAAAGTAAGGCGTGATTTATGGTTTCATTTAAATAAAAACACTACAATGTTGCTAAGAAGTGGTCAATTTTACTTGTAAAGTTTAATCAGGCATTAGAATAGTTGATGCTTAAACTATGTTGTACGAGTCTGAATAAGTCTTACTTGTTCAGTAGCTGACATTAATGTCACAAAAATGACTCATGACAAACCACTGTAAAAATCCTGTTCCATCCCTATGTTGCAATATCACACTGTTGGCTTGAAATTGGTCTTGATAAGCTGGAGAGATGACTCAGCATTTAAGAGCACTGGCTGTTCTTGCAGAAGACCAGGTTTGAATCCCAGCACCCACGTGGCAACTAACAACTGTCTGTAACTACAGTTCCAGGGGATCTGACGCCCTCTTCTGTCTTCTGTGGGTACTGCATGACACAGGTTCGTTTATATGCAGGCATGCAATATACTCATATACATAAAATAAAAAATAATAAAATCTTTTTAAAAAACATATCGGAGGGCTGAGGAGATCAGTCAGTAAAGTGCATACCACTTCTTTTGAAAAATCCATGGTTTTTAAATCTCTGTTTCAAGCAGTAGGTTGAAGCAGTGTGGAGAGAATCGCGATAGCCCTGTGACTCTGGAAATTATGTGAGATATATGTGTTACCATATTTTCTGTTCTGTGGGTATTCCTTTAGTGATATATTTGGTAATCAAAATTGTTCTTAATTTTGGGGCTGACAAGATGGCCCAGCATTTACCAACTCAGCTGGCAAATGCACTTGTTGACATACCTGATGACATGAATTTAATCCCCAGGACCCAAAAGTGGGAGGAGAGAACGAAGGCTGACAGCTGTCCTCTGACTTCCACACACACAATATGAATACATACCCACCCCAATAAATATTAGATAGATAAATATATATATGTAATAAAAGTGAAAATTGTCTTAATTTTAAATGAAGGTTAATA